AGTTGGATGATGCAGGAATTCAGTAGCCACACATCCCTTCCTGCCAAATGTACCTCATAACATACTTATCTTGTGTGCAAAGATGAATCAAAATCACACAGTACTGGGAAATATAGTAACAAAAGTACTATGGGCAAAAGTACTATGACTTCCATATAGCCAAAACAAGTGAGTCATTTGTTTCCTTTTCTGACTCATTAATCCAATTTGAAGAAAGTTACCAGTGATTGCAACATTCTTCAGATTGCACACAGGTAATTACCAGATTATGTAGACACCAGGCCCCCAAGAGCTTGAAGCAGTCATGTCTGGGGCTGCTTTTTTGAGGATTTGCTATAATCTTGGTCCTTGTGACAGCAGCTACTTGTTCTGTAGGATTAAACATTCTTTCAGACATGTATTGTTTTTAACTGCAGTAGGATCACAGGAAAGTAGGGCTGGAAGGGTCATCTGGTTCAGGCCCCTGCTTAAGGTAGGATCATCCCTGACTAAACCATCCCAGTTGGGTGTCTGTCCAAACTGCTCTTGAAAACCTCTGAAGATGGAGAATCCTACAGCCTCCCTGGGTAGCCTGTTCCAGTCCTTGAAAACCCCCATAGTTAAAAAGCTTCTCATACACTCCAGTGTAAGTTTCCCCTGCTGCAGCATTAAGCCATTGCTCCTAGTTCTGTCCCCTGCAGCATGGAGAAAAGCCCATCTTTATCCTCTCTGTAGTCATGCTTCAGGTATTTGAAGATTTTTATCAAAGCACCACCTTCAGTCTTTTCTCCAGACTCAATAACCCGTGTTCTTTCAGATCTTCTTTAAGTTTTGCCTCCTAGGCCTCTAATCATTTTCATTCCTCTTTGCTGGATTCTCCTGTTGGCTACATACTTCTCCAACTGTGGGTACAAAACTGGACAAAGTACTTCAGGTGAGACTTCACCACTGCTGAATAGAGTGGAAGAATCGCTTTACTTGATTTCCAAGTGACACTCCTATCTTGGATTCATGCCAAAACAAAGTTACCTTTGGGATCCACCATGCAGCATTCATAGATATTCTGCCAAATTAGATTTACCCCTGTGGTGTTTAGTCTTTCTGTAGCTAGTGTGAAGCTGTTCATTTTCATGCCTGTATATATTACAGTATTTGATATAAATGTACTTTTGTGGTTTCATGTTGTAACTGGAAGAGAATCCAATAATTCAGGGGTCCTCAACCCCCAGCCTGTGAGCCAAATCCAGCCCACAGTGCTGTGTCATCTGGCCTATGGGGTAATCCAGGGTCTGGATCTTTGGTCGGAGAGTGGTGGTACCACTCCTCTTGCCAGACTTCCTTACCCATGGAGAGCTTCCGGCTTTACATGCTGGTTGGGGCACCTGATTCCAGCACACGGGGCCAGGTAAAAATGGTACTGGGTCCCAGGGCAAAATCCTGGTTGCATGGGGGTGGTGCCAGGGCCCCGGGACCTAATCCCATTGCCTGGGGCAGGGAGGAGGTGGTGCTGGATCTCAAGGCTGGGCCTGGCTTGCGGATTGGCCTTTCTCCATGCATTTGGCATGCAGAGCCAAAATGTTGAGAGCTGCTTAAGTAGGTTATTCAGAAAACACCGAAGAGACATCCAGGTGGCATGCATCTTTGGCCAGACAGTGTGGCTGTGATGGGTGTTCAAGAAATAATAGCCATTCTCATTCATAGAAGGTCATATTTGTTTCTTGTATAGGTTGAAACAATGACCTACTAAATGTGCCCAAAAGCTTTTGTCTGGCAAAGGGGGTGACGTGCCTTCAGCCACTTCTACCTGGTAGAGAGGGAAAGTTCATCTGCTTAATATACATTCTCCCCAAAAACAAAAGAGAGATTTGGAAGGTATAAAAGTTTGTGCTCGAGTTGAGGGACGTGTTTAGGAAATCCCTATAGAAGAGGGATGTTTCCTGGCCCCAGCTTCTAGGTGTTCCTGAATTTAGGGCTCAGATATGGCTGAGGGAGTCTGTAAATTGACAGGATGCTAGATAAGAAAAGCCATCTGTAGGGAAATTGCTGATTAGCAGGGATTACTCTGAAGCTGTTTCTATATAGAGAAGTAGGGTGACATCTTGTATTTCTGACCTTTTATTTTTT